ATTACGGTAGTAAAGGCCTTTAAGGAAAAGATAGTCGTAGCGCGGTCGTAGTCGACTATTAGTATAGATAACGATAGAATACTTGTAGTCGGGCGATATTAGTAGTAGATGTTATAAGCACGCTATAAGACGAGTGTCTAATAGAGCGAGTCTATAGGAATAATTAATAAAAAGAGATGATGCTTAAGTAATTATCTCTTACTTATTGTTAATACAAAATAGAAATAAGACGGGACCTTAGACGCAGTAACTAGCGGCTAGCTTTACTTTAGATAATCTAGGTTACCTTTTGACGTCATTATTTTGTCGCTTAAGGACTAGGGTACCTTAAAGCCGAATAGCCGCCGCGCTAACGCCGACGAATCGCGATAGGCTTTAGTCTTTATCCTTATCGACTATTAGCTCGAGTAGGACTAAGAACTGCTAGAAGATATAGCTAATTACTAACCCTAATCTCTCGTGCGATATAGGTTACGTACGTTAGCACCCTATATAGGGTAGGAAGGCTATATAGCATAAGACGTTTAAGTCCGGCTAGTCTAAAGTAGTAAGACGTCGATATAAAGCATTACGTATGCCTTAATCTATACCTTATAGAGCCGCGTTGCCGCTATCGTATTTTAACATATGCTAGCTCTCTATTTCTTTTACTCGCGCTAATCGCCTACCTAATAGCTATCGTCCCTAGCTAATAAGAAGAGTCTATAAGCATAAGAGACCCGCACCTTAAACACTAACTTAACTAGCGCGACTAACTATTAGAAAGACTAGGTTACTATATATCTTAAGGCTGTCGAGCGACTTGTTCGTTAGTAGTCTACTCTTCTTATTAGCCTATCGTAATAACATCTCGCCCGTCTCGATTTACGTACCTCTTATACTCCTCCTCCCTCTCCTCTAAGAGCGCATCCTTACTCGTATTATTCCCGCTCTTACCGAGCTTCTAGCTACTTACTAGCCTACCTACTAAACCCTCCTATGTTTACCTCTAACGTTAGCTCTAGCTAGCGACCTATCTAGATGCGTACTAAAGTCGTACGAGCTAGATAACTAGTGTAAAAAGATTCCGGTTAGAAACATGCTTATACATACTACTACCGCTCCTTTTAAGTAACGTAATAGCGTCCTACGCTTCGTCTCCTTACACGATTATGTCGGCTAACTTTAATAGTCGGTATAGTAGCCTTTACTATAAGTCTCGTGCTTAGATAGAGCTTTCTAACCTCTACTTAATAACATAGACGTCTTTACTACTTTGTTCGCTTACTTAAAGTAACCCCTTGCCTTCTAGATTCTTGCTAGAGAGAACGTAAAGTGTTATATAGTGTAATTACGGCCGTCTAATAGCATGCGTATCTATGCATCCTACATATCTAAAGATTACGGTAGACTAATAGTGTTACTAGGCTCGAAACGAGCTATAAACAATATCTTTAGCTCGCTAGATGTTGAGAAAGTGCCTAGTAGTAAGTTAGAAAAGGGTTAATTACTAGCCCGAAATAAAACTTAGCTACTTAGATACTAACAAATAGTCCGAAACGCTAACATGTTCTTAAAGGACTACCTAAGATAGGTTATATTGTCCTAGACTAGATCCTCGACTTCCTAGTCGCTTCTATCTAACTCTACGGCTTAGCTCTTATCTATACTATACTTACTCTCGTTTATGGCGGCCTCGGTCCTACCGTCGCTACGCATGCTATAGTCGACGACAATTATGATTTTTCGTATAGTCTATCCCTATACGTGCTAGCTATGTCGTGTTTTATAAAGAAGAAGACGATTCCTATCTAGCTAAAACATTCCGAGGTCCTATATAACGCGATATCGGCATCTTTAAGACTACATTATTTAAGGATAGGTAAGTCGTAAGGGAAAGTATATAAAATAGGAGCTAGTAATAGAAAGATAGTCCTTATAATTAAGAGTTTTTGCCACTTTTATATAGGATTCGAGTAAAAACGCTATCGATAGATAATTTAATATACGCGTGCAACCTTAACATCTAGAGTAGTAAGGGGCTAAAGTATAACACTACGCTAGCGCATCTTAGAAGAAGCGGCGAAGGAGTAATTATTTTGCGCTTAAGGCTTTCTTATTAACCTATTACATTCTTAGCCGATACTATAATCTCTTACACGTCCTAAGAGGATTTTAAGTATACGAAGATAATAGTAAGAAGTTTAACGTAGAGAAGGACAAATGGTAACTAAATTTAATTGTAGTTAAAGGCACTATTAGGATTCTAAATAGAACAGGTAGACTCTAGAGGCAAACATAAGAAAAGCTAGACCGATCCTATAGCAGTCCGAGATTACGGCTCGATCTTATCCTATTAATGGTAGGCATATGTAGAGTTACCTAGTAACTTATACATAAAACAGTAGTCGAAATCTGTACAATTCTTGTAGCGAAATCGTAGGCCGTAAATGTTCTATATAATTAGCTTCTATACATATTAGTACGTAAAGGAGTTTACCTATTAGTAGCTACTATAGGTAAATCTTCTGTATTGCTTAGTATAGCTAAAACATAAATAATCGGGTAGAAGATATTACGATAGTAGAGATAAGTAATTCGAATAGTTAAACTAATAGTTTAGAGTACTAAGACGTCTATAGAAGGCCGTAGCATTCTGCGCGTTGCTATATAGTCCGCCCTTAGTATTATTATTAGCACCCTTATCGAGCAGCGTCTACATAATCTAGTCGTAGCCTCCTATAGAAGCTACTTATAGTACGTTACCGTAGAGTCTACCTTAAGCGTTAACATCGGCACCCTTGTTAAGTAGTATCTACATAATCTTGTCGTGCCCTCCTATAGAAGCCGCTTATAGTGCGTTACCGTAGAGTCTACCTTAAGCGTTAACATTAGTACCCTTATCGAGTAGTATCTACATAATCTTATCGTGCCCTCCTAACGAAGCTACCTATAGCGTATCGCTAAAGTTTCTACCCTAAGCGTTAACATTAGCACCCTTATTAAGTAGTAACTATATAATCTAGTTATAGCCTTCTAACGAAGCTACCTATAGAGCATTACTATAGAGTCTACCTTAAGCGTTAGCGTCCGTACTCTCGTCTAATAGCCTTACGATAGATGCTATTAATCTACCTAAAGACGCGTAGTATAGTAGCTTAGCGACATCGTCGCTTCTTCGTTAGTCGATGCGTTTCTCTAGGTAATCTAGGTTATAAAGACTATAGCATGTTATATAAGCAGTTGTCTTATGCTTAAAGAACTCTAGAATGTAGCTTTATAGATCTTCGTCCCTCTCGTTACTCTTTCTAGCGTAATTAGTCTAATATCTCGTATAGTACTACGTAAACTAGAATCTTGCTTTTATCTACTTTAACGATAGATTATAATTTAAGTTACGTAGATATATAAGATAGATGGTTACGATCCTAGCTCTAGCTATAGCCTCTACTAGATAACCTATAAAGGGTTGTATAACGCAGTGCGATACTAAGTATTCCTTAACCGAGAAATGTGCTAGCTAAAGCTTACTTACCTCTTCTTTACTATTGCTCTCGACTATGTTTAGGTCACTATAGTGAAATTTACTATAGTATTTCTCGTTATTATCGATCGGACGCTACATAAGTACTATAAGACTAGAGTAAATGTTTAACAAATCTCTTAGCTCTAGCATCTAGCTCTTAATATAAAAACTAGGGCTTTTACTCGGCTACATAGTAATAGCATCGATTAATTCTCTAATTCTTAGAGGTTTTTTGGACTACGCGAGGAGCCTAAGAACGGTTAATGCTATTTATAGGTGTCTTTTCGATATTCTTTCTAGAATCTAGTAGTATATATCGTCGAGGGTCTCTAGTAGTTCTTCTAGTACTTCTAGGAGTTGTCGTAGCTCGTAATAGTCCTAGAGTGCTTCGATCTAATAAGCTGCCTAACGGAACCTATAAAATATATAAGCACCCTCTAATAGTCTCTAGAACCTAGCTTAAAGGAGTTTACTATCTATTCTTATATTCCGTTAGCCTTTTTCATTAGCTTAAGCTTAATCTTTTTCTATATATCTTCTTAAGACCGCTACCTTCTAAGGTCTTCTCTATAATGTACTTAGTAGGTAATATACGCTTCGATGTCTACGTCTACATCACTTTGCTAGATTACTATTCTATCTTCTAGGTATGTCCATTTCTAGAGGGCAAATTTAATATCTTCTTCCTAGCGTATAGTAACTAGGAGTTAGTATATAGTAAACTTACTTATCGCGAGTGTTTTAAGCTAAACACGTAAATCTCTTCTCGATTTAGACTCGTCTAAAGCGTCTAAGACGATACATGCCCTATCGATTATACTTAGCATTACCTAGAGCACGCTTTATAGTAAACTAGTAGACGGCTACTAGCTCCCTTTACTATGAGTATTCTATAACTAATCGAGGGGCTATTAAGCATCTAGTCGCTACTAATAGAGCTATTTAATAAGAGAGTATAGTACATTGTTAAGGGTCTATTTGCTCGTATTGTTAAAGTCGAAATAGAAGTTAAGTAGCGTTCTAAAGCTCGTATCTCGCTTAAGGTGCTCGATAATAGTAGAGCTAAGTACTATCTTCCTATAGCTAGAAATGCTATAAAGCTAGAGGAATGAATTTAAATGCTGCTTCTACTACTTAAAAGCATCTTTGTAGATGAACTAGAGCCTAGTGCCTTCTTAACGCTATTCTAGTGCTTTATTGTAATTTGTCGACGAATCGAAAGGTAATAGCTACTTAATCATCTAGCTTCTATGTTCTTATATCTAAAGTTTACCTACGTCTATATGCACTTTCTAAGTAGTGATCCTAATGGCGTCCACTTTTTAAGACACTTAAGATATAGTAAGGACAAGTTCTATATGTATTACCTAACATAAGCTTAACTACTAGAATCGATGACTTCCTTAAGCTTTGCCTTAGCTTCTACTTAGCTTAGTACTATTCTCTTAAGAAGATCCTTAACATACGTAGCTACTACTATCGCTACATAACTTTGCTAGTCTTTATTCTTATGTGAATCCGAGTAGTCGTAGATGCTACGTATAACTAGACATAGAAGATAGTTCATTAGTCCTATAGCCTCTATCTCGAAGTAGAGAACGCCTCTCTCCTTAGCAAGTTAGTCCCTTATATGCGCGTCCTTTATTAACTAGCTACTAGAAGCAATTATGCTATAGTAGATAATAGTTCGCTTTTCTTCTCTTAGTAATCGTACGCGCCTCTCGACTAGTTTTTCGGGTTATGTCCTATAAAGGTCGCCGTAAGTACCCTCTACCTCGGCTAGGTAGATAACGCTAGCTTTATAGAGATAATCTTTATCTTCATCTAGGCGACTAAACTCTTCGCTTAGTTCGGTGTATTTATCTAGGATTGTTTTAATCTTCGTCTCGATTATGTTCCCTTTCTTTTTATATTATACTTTAAGACTACTAACTACTATATAGACTAGTGTTAATAGCTAGTTAAGAAATCCTGTCTATAGAAATCCTTAGCCTTAGATCATCTTCCTATAGTTATACTAGAGAACACTACTAGTATTGTCGTGTAGAGAGCTTATAACGATATCGCTAAGTCGTATATTATTCTTAGAGGTAGGTATACTACTAGCGATTCCGACTATAAAGCTAACCCTAATGTTAGGGAAACTGCTAAGCATATCCTTTACTACTACGGTAGTAGAGGTCTAACTGTATTCTCTATCTAGTAGTACTGTAATTACGACGTTATGGCCTACTATCTTACTAAGAGTGTAGTCGTTACTATCGTTCGTAGAGACATAAGTTAGTCGTTCGTACTCTTCTCCGTTAAGAAATAAGGAAGCTACGATGCTCTTAGTAGGTATTACATAAATCTAGCCTATAGTATAGAGCGCTGGATCTAACATATTCTTAGTATAGTTTAACGTCTTATAATAATTAGTTAAGGTCTAGAATAGGCGATAAAGACTTAAATAATTACAAAGAACTAGCTTGCTCTATATGTTCTAATACTAATACATAGTTTTGCGTAGCTACCTTACATAATTCGCCTACATATACATAGCTATGCAGTTAGCGAGGCTAACTTTGTTAGCCCTAATTACCCTAAGGGGGCTATAGCTTAGTCGGTATTAATCGTCTCTTAGGAGTTAGGATCTCGGTTACCTATATCTTAAGTAGAAAAAGGACAATTGTCTAATAACTCTATTAGTAGATAAGCATTAGCTATATAAGAGGGCTTTGTTATTCTTATCTTTTACTAAAGTCGTAGCTTATAGGCTTACTATACTTTAAGGATAGCTTAAGATTCCCTCGCTAAGATAACTAAGGCTTTTCTAGTTTCGAATTTTAGCCTAATCTTTTGCTACTATAGTAACCCTGCTCTTATCTAGTGCGATTTTTCTTAATTACATTAGCGTTAATTAGGTTTAAAAACATCTTAAGTACTTCTTTTTGCTCTAGAGGGGAACGAGAGGCCCTTAAAAAAAAGTTATCTAACTTATTAACTTTTATTACCTTTATAAGCTAGCGTAGTGTGCCCTAGTAATCCCCCTAAATTCCTAGTAAAACGCTATAGTACGAGATAGAGATGTAGTCTATAGGAATGATTGCTAAGAATAGATAATAGTTAAGTAGTTATGTCTTAGTTATCGTTAATGCAAAATAGAAATAAGATAGGACCTTAGACGCGTTAACTAGCAGCTAGCTTTACTTTAGATAATCGCTATTATAAAGTATTGCGCATACCTTAATCTATGCCTTATAGAGCTATATCGCCGCTCTCGTATTTATTATGTACTAGCTCTTAGTTTCTCTTACTCGCGCTAATCGCCTACCCGCTAGCTATCGTTATCGACTAATAAGAAGAGTCTATTAGCATAAGAGACACGCGCCTTAAGCACCGACTTAGCTTACGTAACAAACTATTAGAAAGGCTAGATTACTATATATCTTAAGGCTATTAAGTGCCTCGTTTGTTAGCAGTCTACTTCTCTTATTAGCCTATCGCGCTAATATCTCGCCTATCTCGATTCGTATACCTTATATACTCCTCCTCCCTCTCCTCTAAGAGTATATCCCTACTCGTATTTATCCTGCTTTTCCTAGACTTCTAGCTACTTGCTAGCCCGCCTACTAAACTTCCTATGTTTGTCTCTAACGTTAGCTCTAGCTAGCGACCTATCAAAATGCGCATTAAGGCCGATTATAAGCTAAATAACTAGTATAAAAAGATTCTAGTTAGATATACGCTTATCTATATTTGCCTCTACGTATAATTGTGTTAGCTAACTTTAATAATTAGTATAGTAGCCTTTACTACGAGTCTCGTACTTAGATAGAGCTTTCTAACCTCTACTAAATAACACGGACGTCTTTACTACTTTATTTGCTTACTTAGAGTAACCCCTCGCCTTCTAGATCCCTACTAGAGAAAACTTAAAGCGTTATATAAGGTAATTACGGCCGTCTAATAGCATGCACATCTATACGACTACATATCTAGAGATTATAGTAGACTAATAACACTAAGAAGCATCTATTCGATGCTTAGAATAACTCTAATGCATTATACGCCCTATTTAACGTTTAACTAGCGGGTGTTATAGACATATAGCTTCTAACTATAGAATAATAAAAACCGAGGGCTCGGATCATTTTTCCGGCTAATTACGTCGTACGAAATCTTTATAGGGAAACTAAAAGTAGACCCTTAGATCATTTTTAATTATACCCTTAGATTATTTTTGTCTATTGCTTATACGGAGCTAAAATCTAGATGGCTAATACTTCGTCTATCAGTTCCTATAGATGCGCCGATTAAGTTATTATACAACTCGTTTTCGTACTATTATATTATCTCGAAAAACAGGCACTTTTCTCTACGTATGTAACATATATAAAACCCCTACTTTTCCTATACGCGCTGCGCTAACTACTTCTAGCTCCCCTTCTCGTATAGCGAGAAGTATATAATAAGAACACATTCCGCTAGAATTAACTTCTCTCCTTAACTCTATTATTCCCTAGCTATGTCGCTAGACTTATATAGCGTCTCGTACCGGCCGTAATAGGACTATTTCCTCTATGGACAATACTACTATAGCGTACGACTAGGGGAGATCTACGCGTACTAGCGTAAGCGATATAGAATTAAAGGTAAGGAACTCCGTACGATCGTAGACATCTATAGATTATACTATACGGAGCACCTAGAAAGCTAAGCCTATCTTCCTTCTAAATTCGATCGAGTCGATCCTATACTACTCTACTATAACGATAGCCTCTAGTATAGAAAAGTCAGATAGGCGTGTTTTTTATATCTATCAAGACGAACAAAAGATAAGATAGCATTACTATATAGTATATAGATAGTCCGAATTTAGTAGGAAGGGATAGCTATCTAGACTCGTATAGAGTCTAGCCCCTTCTACTATAGAAGGGGACTAACTATAGATTAAAGTATCGTATTAGAGGATCTTTCCCTCTAGGCCCAACTCCTATTTTATCTACGTATAAAGTATAGATAGCGTAGATAGCAATAGGGACGATATACCGTACCCTCTACTACCGCTAAGGAGCTTATATAAGAGACACGAAACGGCGATCTAGTAGTAGAGGGACTAGATTAATGACCTATATAACTACGACGGTAACTACTAGCTAAAACGAACTAGATAGCAAAAGTTCCTCGCTAGTTCGAGCTATACGAAGACTCTTAAATATATCGTCGAGCCTAGCTAGGCTTCTCCGCTATACTAGATTAAGATATAGGACATAGTAGTATCGCTAATCGTACGCGCCAAAAAGCTCCTTATACGTACGAGCTGCTTTATATAGGTTACTATCGTATAGGTCAAGGGTAGCTATTACATCTAGTAGCCGCTATAGCTATATTAAGGCCGCCCGTAGCTCTAGAAAGGGTATAGGCGTAGTAGTAGATCGTACTCTTCTTCGTACGATTTTATTAGGGCGGTCTAGACCTTACTATACTACTATCTAACATATAGTAAGAGACGCTATAGGGACCGATAGCCGTAGTAAAGGACCCCTCGTACGAAGAAGAAGATAAAGAAGAAGAAGACTACTAGCGGCAGTCTAGTAGAGACCTAATAGCGACACTAGAGCTAGAACATAGTATCCTCTTCTTTATTATCTTACTACTTAATTACGTCGTACGAGGCTAGGAGTATAAGAGCCCTATAATCTACGCTCTCGCTATAATCGCTATATAACCGTAAGGATAGCTTAGCGTCGACTAGTACCTGTCTATCCTCTTAGCACTTATTAAAATATTACGCTATCTTATACTATAGGAGGCGTATAAGGGACTTCCGACTAAGGATATAGCTACTAATACTAGTACGGACGTAGATATAGATAAAGATATAGATACGAGTATAGAAAGCGATGCTCGTACGGCCGTAAGGGCTAGTACTAACCTATATATAGATAATAACTATACGAAGGGCCCCTAGCTAGATAACGTTAAGCGATTAACCTTTTAATTTCTCTAGAGGGGCACGCGCTCGCCCTTTAAGTAGATGTTAGACCTACGCTCGTATAGCTAGTACCTAGCTATATAGAGCACTTCGGAAGGTAAGGTTAAGTAGAGGGGCAACTAGCTATTATATAGAGATGTCTATCTCTATATAAGCTAGCTCTATCGTATAGTCGGCCTTCTTACCTACGACACGAGGGAGCTACTTAATTCTCTTCTACTACTAGGCCTCCGTACGCTACCCTTATTACTATAGAGCCTAAGCGATAGCCTAAACTCGTCTAAAGCTAGTTTTAGCTTTATACAACTTCCTAGAAATAGCGAGATACTAAGGGCGGACGGTAGTTAGTAGCTACTAGACTAAGTAATTATAGCACTATACCTATAACGTTAGTTCTTCGTAGACCTTATAAGCAATACGTTTAAGGTACCCGCCGTTAACCAATATATCCGCTACGTAGACCGCTTCTATATAAACCTTACTATTCTCTATTATATTACTAGTAGCTAGCTAGCACGAGCTACGGAGATACTATCTATCTATTACTAGAACTCGTACGAGGGTAGATATCGGGGTATCTATATCGACGACGGGCTCGTTAGTCTAACGACCTTATACTATAAGGGCTCGACTATCGTAGTAAAGGCTAATATAAACATTATCTAGCGATACCTACCCGAGACCGTTAGCCTACTCGTTATACGCTACCTCTAGCTCGTATTACCCTAGATCGAGCTACTAGAGACGTAGTATTATAGCTATACGACGGTAAGCGATTACCTATAGCCCGAACAGCTACTAGGGTACGCTTTTAATAGAGACACATTTTGTACGAGGTTTAAATAGACGACTAAGAGGTATACTAGCTATAAAGGCATTAACATCTCTAGCTATAGACACATCGCCATTATAATTAGTAGACGCTACCTTACTATAGCTAAGTAGTTTATAGATGTAGTAGATGCTTTAGACGAGCACGGCGACGTAGTAGAAAAGATAACGAACCTACTTAACGCTTAAGCCTTACACTTGTCGTACGTAGCCTAGCTAGTATACGGACGAGACGGCTAGGCGATTAGCGGATCTCTACTTACCTCGCGCGACAAGTTTCGTATAGTATCTCGGGCCTAGTACGCCTTACTCGAGTATAATCTTATGCTAGAAGTAGGCAAGAAAGGCAGTAATAAGGCTAACGACGATAATTATATTAACGACGACGACAATAGTAATGACCTATATAAAGCACTAGTAGAGAAGCATATCGTATAGCGTTAGGCGCTACTACGGTAGTCGTCTCCCCTCGTATAACTTCGAGAGTTAGTTTCCCCCTAGGTAGAGTTCTATTTAAAATAAGAGGAGGTTCTAAGAGTAGTTTATAATAGCGATTTACCGATACTAGCTATTATGCCGACTAGCTTAGGTAAGAGTCTATCATTTATACTTCTAGCCTTATATAAGTTTAGTAGGACGACGATTATAGTTATACCTCTTCTAGCTTTATAGTAAGACATACTCTATCGTACGATAGCTCTTTCTATCCTTACGCGCGTCTAGGGCTAAGGGAGCGACGACGTTAATGCTAAACTTATCTTTATAACTCCCGAGTCGGCAACTACGGCCGCCTTCCTTACTTACTTCTACCGCCTTCGTACGATAGGCTAGATCGACTAGGTAGTATTTAACGAGTGTTATATCTTCTTAGACGACGACATTAACTTCTAACTAGCGATTAAAGAACTCGTTACTCTATTCTAGTTTAGCGTACGACTAGTCTTCCTAACGGCTACGCTACTAGTTAGTTAAGAGCTTCTATTCTAGCGTTTACTCGGTCTATAGTAGGTCCCTGTTCGTACGATTCGGGTAGATACTACCTAGTATAACCTCGAGTATATAGTATCGTACGTAAGGTCGACAGACTATACGGCCGAGATTAAGAGA